CTTCCCCCACACCCATTCCGGCACACCCCTCACACGTTTCGTGGCCCCATAGGGAGCTCCACCGACGGCCCCGGTGCTACCGCCCGCATGCGTTCCCCCCACCCAAGACAGCGTTTCGTGGCCCCGTAGGGAGCTCCACCAAAGGTTCCAGGTTCACCGCCCGCATGCGCCCCGCCCACCCAGTACAGCGTCTCGTGGCCCCATAGGCGCCATAGGCAGCTCCACAGACGGCCCCAGTGCTACCGCCCGCATGCGTCCCCCCACCCACTGCAGCGCCTCGTGGCCCCATAGGGAGCTCCACCGACGGCCCCACTGCTACCGCCCACATGCGTCCCACCCCCCCAGTGCAGCGCTTCGTGGCCCCATAGGAAGCTCCACCAAAGGTCCCAATGCTACCGCCCGCATTCGTCTCGCCCACCCAGTACAGCGTTTCGTGGCCCCGTAGGGAGCTCCACCGACGGCCCCAGTGCTTACGCCTGCATGCGCCCCCCCCACCTAGTACAGAGCTTCGTGGCCCCATAGGAAGCTCCACCGAAGGCCCCAGTGCTACCGCCCGCATGTGTCCCCCCCACCCAGTGCAGTGCTTCGTGGCACTATGGGGAGCTCCACCGACGGCCCCACTGCTACCGCCCGCATGCGCCCCACCCACCCAGTGCAGCGTTTCGTGGCCCCATAGGGAGCTCCACCGACGGACCCAGTGCTACTGCCCGCATGCGTCTCGCCCATCCAGTACAGCGTCTCGTGGCCCCGTAGGGAGCTCCACCGACGGCCCCAGTGCTTACGCCTGCATGCGTCCCCCCCACCCAGTACACCGTCTCGTGGCCCCACAGGGAGCTCCACCGATGGCCCCGGTGCTACCGCCCGCATGCGTCCCCCCTACCCAGTGCAGCTCTTCGTGGCCCTTAGGGAGCTCCACCAAAGGCCCCAGTGATACCGCCCGCATGCGTTCCCCCCACCCAGTGCGGCGCTTCGTGGCCCCATAGGGAGCTCCACCGAAGAAGAGATTCGCAATGGTGGCA